TCTCTGCGTCTGGATGTCACGGTGTCCCTAGTTTTCCAATCCTCAAGGTGTGGATCAGCAGAGGCAGGCGTACTACTGTCTCATGTATTAGCTGAATGCCTTTGGGCGAACTCTTCTCTGAACTTCCAGTGTTTGTCATTTGTTAAGTGGGGTTAAAAATACTAACTACCTCATGAGAATGAGGATTGCATGTGGAAGCGCATACAGGCCATTGATTACAGTTCGCAGCACAGAGAAAGCATGTGACAGATGTTAGCTGCAACTGTCATCATCACTGGCACCATGGCTGTCACTAGCATTCATGGGCTTACTCCTGCCTTCTCTGCAGAGTAGCATGAAAGGAAGTAGACACAACCCAGGCTTTGGACTCACATAGGCCGGGGTTCAAATCCTGACTGTGCTTAGGCAACTAGCTAGACTTCTCTGAGCCTCAGTTTACTCATCTATAAAGTGGGGGTGGGGTCAGGATTACATCCCCCCCCTACCCAGTGCTAAGAGATCAGTAGGTGGAATGCAGAAAGAGCCTTTGGCACCACAGAGGCACCCACAAAAGGGTAGTTCCTAGCTGTGATGGAGAGGTTCTCAGCATTTCCTTCGAACAGCCAAGCTGAGTGTACAATGCAAGGAAGGTAAACAGTGGGTGTATCTGAGGATGGGGATGAAGACCTGCTGGTTAGTAGCAGGGCCAGGAAATGTGTTTACAAAGCCTAGTGAGGGACACGCCTGGGTGGCTCAGTGTTTGAGAGTCTGCCTTCGGCTCAGGGCATGATCTCGGGATCCAGGATCAAGTCCCACATCAGGCTCCTTACATGGAGCTTGCTTCTCCCTCTGCCTGTCTCTGTGTGTCTGCCAATCTCCCTCACCCCCGGGATGTGTGTGTGTGTGTGTGTGTGTGTGTATGTGTGTATCTCATGAATAAATACATAAAATCTTAAAAAAAAAAAAAAAAAGCAGAGTGAGTGTGAGGAAAAACGAGCGCTATCCTGCCCCGCCAGAACCCAGGGGATGTCAGCCAGGAACGGGGCAGTAACACCTCTGCAGCTGGCCAGTCCTGAGAGTCAGAGGACAGCAGAGGGCTGAAACACAGAGGAGGAGCTGAGGTCAGTTGGCAGTGTTCCTGTGGCCTCTAAGGGGTGGAACCAGGGACACAGAGAAAAGTGATGGGACAGCACCAAGCAAACAGCTCAAATGTGCCCACCAGCAAGTTCCACAGAATGGCTGGACCTAAACAAGAACTCTGGCATTCTCCCACGAAACCATCTGGGCCTTTCGCCCAAACAGGACCTGCCCACCTGGGGGCCCCCCTGCCCCACTTGTACCCAGAATGCGTGGTGATGTGTCACAATCTGCCATGCGGTGCCAGTGACCCCAGGAGGGAAGGATGGTCAGGATCCCCACTTTCAGACGGGGAAGGTTAAGGCCGCCTAAGGTGGCACTTCTAGGGAACCTGGGAGCTGGGACTCAAACCTCTGACTTTCCAAGGCTGGGCGCTAAGCCTGGAGTTGACAGAGACTCCACTCAAAGGCCTCCCTATAGATGGTTTTCCATCACTCTGCATATGCCTTGTTGCCCACTCATTCATTCAGCATCTGTTCCACGGGTGTCACTAACATCAATTCTGTTCTAGATGCTAGGCTAGGTCCCTGTGATACAAAGTGACCCAAACAAAGGCAGTTCCTGCCTGCCTGGACCTAAAAATCAAGAAAACAAGTCCCTCTGAAACTGCCTTGGCAGGGGTGGCACCAGTAGGCCCAGAAAATCAGGTCAGAAACAGGGGCACGCGAACCTCTCATAGGTCCAAGATGAGACAGACATGGGTGCCTCAGGGACCTCCGGGTGACAGCTGCTTCATACAGGTGGGAGTGTCTTCCCTGCACATCCACCTCCCACTCCCCAGACCTCTCATGCCTCTGCTCTCTTCCTGCTTCTCCCCAGCTGGCCTTCCCTTCTGGACTCTGCTTCAACTTTCTGGACCTCAGTAGCACAGAGGTGAGATTTTCAGTTCCAGAAAGACTAGGAACATTAAAAAAAAAAATTGGTTTGGGCTCAGTATATGTAAAAAAAAGCACACAAACACACATACACACAAATGAGGGATCCATTAAGAATTTATCACACAGGCCATAAATATCTCCTGACATACTCGGGAAGGATCAATAGCACACTCAGGAAGCATTTATATTGGGGATGCATCAAAGATGGAAATGTGAAAGCAGGAGAAAAGGAATATGGGGCCTAAGTTAGTTTCTTAGAGTGGGTGAAGCAGTGGATTAATCTCTATGCTATTTGTCTAAAGTATTCTACGGAAAATTTTTAACAAAAGTACCAAAAAGTATCAGACACTACAAAACAAAAGAATGAATTGTGGACACATGCAACACAGGTAAGTCCCACAGATGTCACACTGAAAGAAGATTCCCGCACATCACATGTAATTCCATCTACATGCCATGACAGAGAGGCAAAACTAACCAGTGATGAGGGAAGTCAGGAGACAGGCTCCCTCTCGGTGGGGGTACAGGCTGGGAAGGGGCACCAGGCAGCCTTCTGAGGTACTGGGAAGACTCGGTGTCCTGATCTAGGCCTGGCCCTGTGGGTGTATGTATGCAGAGAGCCATCAAGCTGTATGCTTAAGATAAGAGCATTTTACAGTGAGCTATGCTAATACCTCAACTTAAAAATTAAAATTTTAAAAAGAAAAAAAAAAACCTCTAATCATTGGCCAGGTTTGGACACCCTTTGCACTGGCTCAGGATACTAGTAAAGAGACTGTTTTTGAATGTCTTTCCCTACCAACTTAACATGTGATTCCCTTACTCTTATATCTATTGATATCCCCTCTGGGAACAATCTTGAGCTAGGCATAAGGGCAGATACACAGGAAGTGTTCCATGGACCCCAGGACGTACACGTATGTCAGGCTGACCAAGGAATCCTGGTTCTGCCCTTACTTGCCGTGTGACCCAGGCTAGGTGATGCCCTCTCTGAGATCTGGGGACCTGATATATAAAACGTGGTCAAGATTAAAGACAAAAGTGTTCACCACTGGCACATATCAGGTGACCCATCAAAAATGGGATGTTAGTATGGTTCATGCTTTAATCCTCTAGAGCAATGTTTTACCAACTGTTATGTTATGACTGATTAGTGGGTTGAAAAATCAATTTAGTGGATTGTAGCCAACATTAAAAAAATTAGATTACAACAGAACAGAAAATACCTGTTTGCACTGCCTATAATAAAAGGAAGCATTGTTCTATGGAGTTTTTACACATTATACGTTGGGTTGCAATACAAAATGTATTTCTTACAGAGGGTAAACATCAAAAGCTTTTAAACTCCCTGTTCCACTGAACCCTACGCAGCCCTGTGACATAGCAGGTACCAGCTCAATGTGGCAAAGCCCAGTTCTTAGGATTGTGCAGGAACAATAGTGCACGATGAGAATAACTCCAATGCCTCCAGGAAGTCACACTTCTTTTTTTAAGGCTCCAAATGCCCGGAAGTTGAGAGATCACGGAGAGCTGCCCAGAGGAAGCAGCTCTAGGGCAGCTTCACGGTGGTCTTGAATCAGAGAGTTCTAGGTGGAATCCAGACTGGGCAGCAAACAGCACGAATCCCCTGGCAACAGGGTTCTTCCTCCTGTTCCACTTCTCTTTCAAGTCTCTCAGATGAGTTTAGAAGTCTCATTTAGCTAGGTCTTTTAACACCTAATAATCTCACTCTTTAATAAGGAGAAGAGCAGGCCTTGGAACCTTCTACCAGCAATAGCCCTAATGCAGAAACTTTCTTGACACTGCTTTGCATTTTATGGATACCTTGGATGCGTGGTGGGTGACACTGGTTTTCCATTTCACAGGGATGAGGTAACACGTTTTTTTTGTTTGTTTGTTTTTTATTTATTTATTTTTTATTTATTTACGATAGTCACAGAGAGAGAGAGAGAGAGGCAGCGACACAGGCAGAGGGTGAAGCAGGCTCCATGCACCGGGAGCCCGACGTGGGATTCGATCCCGGGTCTCCAGGATCGCGCCCCGGGCCAAAGGCAGGCGCTAAACCGCTGCGCCACCCAGGGATCCCAACATGTTTTTTTTAAAAAAAACTCTCTATTCGAGGTTGTTTTTTTTTTTTTTTTTTTTACAGTGGGTCCATTTAAATATAATATAAAGTTTATAACAGTAAAGGCAAAGGTAGATAAGGCAAGAAGCGTAAAAGTGGCCCAGGGGTGGCTGAAATTTGGCAAACACTGCTAACGACTCCCCGAATCTGAGGCCAGGGAGTCCTTACCTCAGCTGTGCACAGCCTGACATCAATGAGCGTCATAAAAGGACATGCTCCCTGCTAAGAGGGGACAGCACTCAGGAGGGGAGAAATAGACCCATTTTAGGAAGGGCGGAGTCAAGGCCACCAGCCAAGCAGCTGTGGAGAATTCTTCATGGAAACAGGATTTTACAATTGCAGGGTGTCTACTATCTTGATGCTTTCGAACTCCCGTCACCATCGACGAACCTTTCTCCAAACACATACTCCCCTGCGTGGTCTGGATGTCACAGTGAAGCTTCTGCTTACATTTTTCTCTACCATAGTTCTCTACCACAGCTCTACCTTTTTCTCTACCTTCAGCTCATGCCATCCTGCATGAGTACAGAGTACAGGAAGTGCCTGCCCCCACCCTTCACCCAGCTTCCCCCAATGGTAACACCTCACAGAACCCTAGAAAACCTCAGAAGAATTCTCAGAAGAGGAAATGAATTTTGGAACAATACTATCAAGTAGATCACAAACAATTAGGATTTCATCCATTTTTCTGGTCTTGGATCCAATCCAGGGGCCCCAAGCTGCATTTAGCTGCTGGGTCCTCTCTTGCCTCCTCCAGTCTGTGACAAGTGCAAGTCCTCCCTCATCTGCCACGACTTGGGACACTTCTGAAGAGTGTTTGTCAGTTGTTTTGTAGAACCTCTCTCAAACTAGGTCTGTCTGATATTTCTGGTGCCTTTTAGCCAGACAGTGCATCTCTGGGAAGACTACTATCGGGATGTGCCCTTGTCAGTGGACATCGGGTCACGTGATGTCCAACGTCTCACTAACAGCGATGTCAGTCTTGAGCACTTGGCTAAGCCGGATCTGCTAGGCTTTGCTGCTGTAAGTAATTATGTTCCCTTTGTGATTACTAAATAATTGGGGGAGATACTCTGAGCCTATCCAAATATCTTGTTTCTGCTTAAACTTTTACCCACTAATTTTAGCACTCAGATTTTAACTGTACCAATTATTACCATGTTGTTCTTTTTTTTTTTTTTTAAGATTTTATTTTGAGAGAGAAAAAGTATGAGCTGAAGGAGGGGGAGAGGGAAAAAGAGAATCTCAAGCAGACTCCACACTGAATATGGAGCCAGATGTAGAACTCGATCCCACAACTGTGAGATTATGACCTGAGGTGAAATCAAGGGTGTAACCAACTGAGCCACCCAGGCACCCCATATCACCATGGTGTTCTAATGATGATTTTCAAATTCTGTCATTCTTTCTGCATTCATTAATTGGAATACCTATGCCTTTTTTTTTAAAGATTTTATTTATTCATGAGAGACAGAGAGAGAGAAGCAGAGACACAGGCAGAGGGAGACACAGGTTCCCTATGGGGAACCCAATGCAGGACTCGATCCCAGGACCCTGGAATCATGACCTGAGTGGAAGGCAGATGCTCAACCACTGAGCCACCCAGGTGTCCTTTTATTTATTTATTTATTTTTTTAAGATTTTATTTATTTATTCATGAGACACACGGGGGGGGGGGGGAGGAAGAGAGGGAGAAAGGGAGGCAGAGACACAGGCAGAGGGAGAAGCAGGCTCCATGCAAGAAGCCCAATGTGGGACTTGATCCCAGGACTCCAGGATCACGCCCTTGGGTCAAAGGCAGGCACTCAATCACTGAGCCATCTGGGCAGTCCTTTTTTGGTTTTAAAAATAAAAGTCCTCAGTAGAGATTTACAAACTTGCTAGTGGCCAAGCTGGCATTGAGATAAACAATCTCTTCCTACATTTCCTTTTTTTTAAAAAAAAAAAAGATTTTATTTATTTATTCACACGACACACACACACACAGAGGCACAGACATAGACCGAGGGAGAAGTAGGCTCCACGCAGGGAGCCCGATGTGGGACTTGATCTTGGCACTCTGGGATCACGCCCTGAGCTGAAGGCAGACGCTCAACCGCTGAGCCACCCAGGCATCCCCTCTTCCTACATTTCTTTTTTTTTTTTTTTTTTAAAGATTTTATTTATTTATTCATAGACACACACAGAGAGAGAGAGGCAGAGACACAAGCAGAGGGAGAGGGAGAAGCAGGCTCCATGCAGGGAGCCCGATATGGGACTCGATCCCCGGTCTCCAGGATCACACCCCAGGCTGCAGGCGGCGCCAAACCGCTGCGCCACCGGGGCTGCCCTCTTCCTACATTTCTATGGATAAACAGTCCACTGCACCCTAAGACCTTTCCTGTTTCTTTCTCTTTTCTTCTTTTCTTCCGTGCCTCCTTCTGCCTTACCCATCATCTTGGTTTTAAGAGCTGGTGAGCACCAGGCTAGCCCAGCAGTGTCCACAGAGCTCTGCAGTGTACACTGAGTTCAAACAAGGCTGGTAATTCATATCTGGGGCTCACACATGCTCTGTTTACCAGCCCTAAGAAACTACTATGTGCCAGGTACTATAGTAGGCACTGTAACCTAAATACTTTCTCATCTTTACACTAACTTTAGTATGTCAGCAAGATGCTTCCCATTTAACAGATCAGTAGGCTGAGGCTACTTCATTTAGCCTACAGATATTTAGTGTTTGCAGTGCCAGCCACTACTACTGGTGTTGGGGAAATGAGGGGTGGGTAAACGAGATAGGCAAGACCTATGAATTAAGGAACTTCCATTCTCATGGAGGGGACAGTAAATGTTTTGATCAGCAAAAAGGAGATGTGATTGTCCTGAAGCATGCCAAGAGCAATGAAGTACACGCAATGATCCAACAGAAGGTGACAGGGAACACTTTCAGCTGGGTGTTTAGGGCAGGCCCCTCTGAGCAGAGACCTGAAGGGGAGGGAAGGAGAGGCCATGCTGACAGCCTGCGAAGGGCATTCCGAGCAAAGGCTCTGAGGTGGAAGGTGAAGTCAACCTGGTTAAGGCGCTACCATGGCCACCAGGGCTAAAAGCACAGGGAGGGTAAGGTGGCCTAGGGTGAGGTCAGTGAGGAGCGGGGAGAATGGATCACACAGGGCCCTGCAGCCTGGGGAAAGGACTCTGGACTGTTATCCATGGTGGATCTGAAGCACAGTACTGAGTGCCCAAGAAGGCGGATGAGGTCTCACCCAGAGTGACCCCAGTGGTCAACAACAGAGCCAGGCTCCAGCCAAGGCTGGCCCAGTCTACATCTGCGCCAGCCAGGCCCTTCCTCCTCCACACAGCCCTGGCCCAGGCCCTTGGGCACAGCTCCAAACACCGTGGAACTCAGGGTCTGGCTTTGGAACATGTTTTCATGCTCACAAAGAAACACGGGTGTGGCTAATGCTCTGGACTTCTTCCTTACACGAGATCACTCTGCATCTCCTGCTCCAGAAAGACCCGAGCCTAGGACCCATGCTTGGCACCAGCCCAAGGCCTGCTCCCACTGTGGTGCCCATGGCCTCGATTCTGTGACACACACACCTCAGAGCAATCCTTCACAGTACTGAGATCTGCAGGCACTGTTTCCATTTATCTAGCAAGCTCACATTCACAAGGTATGGTGCCTGGTTAAGGGTGCCTGGGTTCCAATCCTGGCTCTGCCACTAGCCAGGTGACCCTGGGCAAGTTAGCTCCTGATAACCTCACAAGGGTGGCCATGAAGATGAAATGAGTTCATAGGTATGAGAAGACAGAGTGATGTGGTGCCCTGCGAATGCTACTTCAATGTTACCTATTACCATTATCAAGCTCCCCCACCAAATCCCGCCCTCCTCTGCTCCCCCATGGGAGGAGCTTTATATACCTGTGAGCTCACAGGCTCATCTGTCCCTCCTCTCCCTGGCATGGGGCCTGGCACTGAATAAATGCTGTTTGATGAAAGAATGAATAAGTAATGAACAAACATGTATGAGTATGGGATGGGTAAGTATATGTCAAAGGTAAAATTAAAAACTCATAATTACTCAGGCCAAATATTCTGAACAAAAGTGCATCTGGTAGAGTTGTGTGATTAAGGCAAGCCCTGAAAGGCACAGGAGGAAAAAAAGCACAGGGGGAGATAAACCAGCCATCATATAATCAAGAACCCCAAAGAACAGACTTTGGAATCTGGTGGTAGAGAAACCTGGCTTCCAAATCCTGAAGTTACCACCTACTGGCTGTGCTGTGGCCTTGGCAAGGGCACCATGTACAGATGGGCAGGCTGTTCCCTGCACAGGGTCACTGACCAGGGCAGACAGCAAGAGTGGAAACTAGGACCCACTAGTTCAGCTGAGGGAGGTGTGGGCACTGCATATAAGGCTCCAGGAACCCCAAAAAAGGGAAGTTTTGTTTTTAAAGATTTTATTTATTTGAGAGAGAGAGAGCACGAGGAGAGGGTAGAGGGAGAAGCAGAGGAGAGGGTAGAGGGAGAAGCAGACTCCCTGCTGAGCAGGGAGCCTGATGCAGGACTCGATCCCAGGACCCTGGGATCATGCATGACCTGAGCTGAAGGCAGACACTTGACTGAGTCACCCAGGCACCCGAAGGGAAGTTTTCTGAGGAATTCCCACAGAGGTGGGCCACAGCTCTGAGCCACCTGTGTCAGCTCTCTGAGGCTTAATTCTAGCCTGCAAAGTGGAGTCAATGACAGCAGTGACACCTCTCTCACCTGGTGAGGGGGTGGTGCTACTACCTCAATGATACTTGGTAACTTCCACCCCTTTCATGCCCAGTGCTTACAGCAATGCCTGTAACACACAGTAGGCGCTCAGTGCATCTGTGGCATGAATTAATGAGCTACCGGCGTTAACAGGCACCACCCATGGCCTTCCCCAACGGCAGCCTGTAAGTCAGGTCCCCACACAGTGCGTTCGGAGGCAAGCAGGACTGTGAACTGTAGTAAACTCTCACATCCTTCGGTCTAGGAGAAAACAGTAAACAGAAAGGGCATGGGGTGGGGGTGGTAATTTGGGGCCAGAAGGCAGCCTTTTGCAGTCAGCTGGAAAAAGTGATAAGGAGGTGGCCGTGGGAACCATGGGAATTGGGGGGTGGGGGACAAACAGGCCCCATTCACACAGAGCACTGGGCCATGGCCCCTGCGGAATGTGGCCTGGGTGTGGGGCTGGGCCTGGGAGCAAAGTTCCTGAATGACCGGCTGGCCGGGCAGGGGCCTTGGTCCCCTCTTGGGAACCTGAACAGCCAAGAGCAGTGTTTCATCAAAACAGGAAAAATCATAGAGGAAAAATGCACATGTAAGGGGACTGGTATTTACAGGGAACGGCCTTGCCTCCACCCAAGGTCTGAAAGGATGGACTGGGGGAGGGGACACAGGGGACACGCAGCAGAGTAGAGCCCTCCCCGGGGAAGGCTACCCACTGTGCACCCAGGCCTGGGGGAATCCTGGTAATCTGAAGGTAAGCCTAGACCAGGTGGTGTATGAAGGCAACAGGAACCTCAGAAGTCATGCCCTCAGAACTTCCTACTGGGCGTCACCCATCCAAAGTGTTTCAGGATCACAGGCGTGCTCTCCCTGCTGTTACCTACAGGGCAGGGGAGCTTGGACTTTGGCTCAAAACACCTGGCAGGTAGAAGCCTCAGGATGTGGGGCAAGTCCCTCACAGTTGCCTAATCCTGTTTTCTTTCTTTGGACAACAGGGCGCTCCCATCCCCATCCACGTGCTATGAAGGTGAGTTGAGATTATGAACTTGGATCTGCTGACCACCCAGTAGGCTCTAAATAAATAGCCTTTTCCTGGGCTCATTGGGAGCGGCCTATGTTACGATCCTCATGGACATGTGGTAGCCAGCGATTTATCAAAGGCTCCTCCATCCTACCCCAGGCTTCTGGAACACACAACCCTAGTGTCTGTGACTTTCCTGTGTATCAACACAAGGATTCTGGCCTTGAGGCCACCAGCTGAGTTGCTCCTCTAGTGTGTGATAAAAGAAAGACCTGGGGTGTGTGACGGTACACACCACCAGCACTCTCACCTGAACCCTGCAGAAGGACCTTAACTGTTCTGCCCCTCCCCTTTGGTGCAGGGTGAGCTTTTTGCAAGATCTTACGATCCTTCACAGGCTGGAGGCTTCTTAGGATAAAGGACATATTCCTAAACATGTCCTATGAGGCCTGCATAGCCTGGCTCAGGGAACACCTGGAGCCCAGCACTCCTCTGCCCTACTGTTCTACAGCTACTTCCATCTGCCGCAGCGTCCTCCCCACCCACAGCCTGTGTCCATGCTGTTCCCTTCACCTGGGCCTCCCATCCATCCAACCCTAAGCACCTTTCAGAGAACCAACCACTCAGCCACTGCAGTGAGGTTTCCTTGATCCCCAGAAGACTAGGGTCCTAGAGCCATCTGTTTCCCTATGCAGCACTCATATCAACTGAGAACTACAAATTTAATTGGGTGTTTAATTGTTGAAACCAAAAACTCCATGGTGGCAGGGGCTATATCCCTCTTGTTCACCACTGGACCCCTAGGGCCTCGTGCAATGACCAGCATGAACATTTGCAAATAAATGAGTGAATGAGTGAATAAATGAATGGTCAAACAAACAGCCTTGGGGGATGAAAACTGAATAGGGAAGTAAAGCTGGAAACAAATGGGAACACCTAGATTTGATTATTCCTACTCCCGAAATTCTAATGGAAGGTGGGAGACAAGAACATGGAGAGGAAGCCGAGTCATATATAAGAGAGCTGGGTTGCCTTGGGTTCTGGGAGTACACAGGACCCCAGGAGGGGGTCAGTGACCCGTGACCATGGAGGAACATTTGCTGACAATTCATGTACACGATCTCGTTCTGTCTCACACAATGCTGGCCTAAGGCACTATTATTAGCCCATTATTACAGATGAGGAAACTGAGTCCTGGGAGGATGAAGGACCTGCCTGAGGTCCCACAGCTGTGTGGGGGTAAGGTCAGGGAAGTGACTGTTCACACAAGGCCGTGAGTTCTTGTTAAGGGGGAAGAGAGTTAAGGGGGAAGTCTCTTAGGCAGGGCATTCCTGCAACAAAGTCAAACAAATTTATTGGCATCTCCCTGAAACTTCTGGAACAGAAATGCTTACACTGTAGCAAGTCAGCATGGTAAGTAAGAATGAATTGCATTGTTCCAGGCATATCAACTGAGAACCTACTCTAGCCAAGTCCAATGCCAAGCATCTCACCTGCATCAGCCCATGTGATCCTCAGAATGGCCCCATGAAGCTGGCACTATCTTTGGGCCCATTTTGCAGATGAGGGTGAAAGAAGTTCCTGTTACTCCTAGTTTAAAATGCCTAAAAGTATTCTCTTTCCTGTATTATGTTAATGAATCTCAAATACATCAACATGTTCCTAATCTACTAGTGGCTTTGGGGTCCCAATACTATTTTCCAAAATGCTTTTCAGTTCCCCAACTGTGAATTTCCTGTGGTGGGGTTTTCAGGGGCTCCAACCCTTGGCCACAATTCCAATGCTGCCCAAATGTCTGCAGTGGGCTTGTAGGCGTTTCATATGCGTGAATTCAGTCCCAGGTTGGCCTCTATGAGAGGTGTGAATAACAAGCAGTTATCCCATCAGGGAGAACACTCACTTGACGTCCCGGGGAAACATATTAACCCAGGCCAACAGGCTTTCAGTTCCCCTTCATCCATGCCCTAGAGAGTTTTTATATTCACTTGATCCCTTTCTTTTTCCTAAGCACTGACTTTGCTCAAGAACCTGCTATGACTCCCCACTGCCTGACACAAAAATGTGCAGACTCCGAGCCAGGCTCACAAACTTGGCCCACCTCACTTGCCTGCTGTTATTACCCACCCTCTTTACTGACACCACTATCCCTGCCTCCCAATCTGTCATCAGGCTGCAGAGCCCCTCAGCTACAATGCCATCTCTTCCCCTCCACTGATCAACCCTGGCTCATCTCCCAAGTAAGTGTCCCTCCTCCAGAAAGCCCCCTAATTCATCCCCACTTGTGCATGTGTGACCATCTCCTTCCTCTCTGATCAAGCAGTATCACCAACGTGGCCTCCACTCCTCTCCCACCTGTGTGAACAGATCCCACCTTCCCAACAGGACTCTGCTTCTTGTGAGCAGGGCTCAATTCTACCCGCCTGAGCTGGCACTCCAGTCTTGTCTGAGCTTCTCTAGCCTGGCTGCTAACCCAGCCTCACTGTCAGTCTGGCCACCCTTTCATAGAAACGGCTCACTGCCCACCCCCAGGGACAAGATAAGGCACCTGTCTTTTCTCTGGTCTCAAGTGCCGTCAAGTTGCCTCCTGCCAACAGGCCACGAACTAAGTCACGGATCCATTGTCCCCTTCTTAATTGAATAGGATGTGACTTACAATTTAAAAAGTGACATTTGATTAGCTGAAGGTCAACATTTTCCAAACACCAAGTCCGAGTGGAAAATATGAATCAAAGAAGTCTCTTGGCAGAGAGACTAAACACAAGAGCCAGCAGCTGCTCGCCTGCCCCCTGCCGGGCTGCACCCTGGCCCACCTCTACAGCCCAGCCTTGCAGGCTACCACACCACAAATCGAACTTGGCTCCTCACCTCAAACCCATCCTTGCTGTGCTGAGGGGTCAAGGGCATGCTCTCATCATGCCCCAGATGCATTCTCCAGTTCACTGTGTGCTGACACGTCACTCCTGCCCCTGCCTCTGCGCAGGACTGGCCCCCTTGACCTGGGATCCACCCAGCTCTCTCGAGGGTGACACGGTGGGGAGGCCCTCCTCCAGCCCTGTGAAAAGTTTGATCAGAATCCCCAGAGTTCCCTGGATGTTCTTACTCAAAAAACTCTTGCTCATTTAATTGTCCATCTTCCCTGTTAGAACAGAAGCTCCATGACAGCACGTACCACAGTCTGTGGGGTTTAGCTTGATTCCCCAGCTCCAGCACAGTGTGTGGCACACAGCAGGTGCTCACAGATAACAGTTCATGAATGACTGAGTAAAGGAGCAAACAAGGTGTGAGCAGGGATGGAGACCATCTCAGCAGAAGTGCTGGGGGGATCTTGTGACCCAGTCGAGCTGCCAGCAGAGAAGCGTGGGGGCATGCCAAAGGACATGTTCCCTGGATCCAGACCAGGTATGGAGGCAGGTGACTGTGCTTCCTCTCCTGTCCCCACTGCCCTCCTGGAACCAGCATCCCCATCCCTGCCCAGCAGTGTTTCCAGGTGTTCTGAGAAATACCACTTGGGGAGGGGGTGAAGGAAGAGGGTGACCTGTAACTTTCCAGGTATTATACACACAGACAACATTTTTGTTTCTTTTTTTTTTTTAAAGATTCATTTATTTATTTTAGAGAAAGAGAGAATATTCAAGCAGACTCCTGCTGAGCGTGGAGCTGGACATGGGGCCTCATGACCCCATGAGATCAGGACCTGAGCAGAAACCAAAAGTCGGACACTTACGTGACTGAGCCACCCAGGCGCCCTTTTGTTTCTTAAATTGCTTTTGTAACAAATCACATATGGAATAACAACCACAAATGTGTATTCACTGGACTCTCTGAAGGGCTACATGACTGCTTCTAGAACTTTCACATTACTAGAAGTTCACCAGTGCTCTCCCCACCTCACAACTGAGGAAACTGAATCAATCCCAGAAAGGTGCTGTGATTGGCTGTACTAAGCAGGGCCAGGGCACAAACCTGGAAGTAGTGCTTGGGGTTCCACTCTTCTGACCACTACAATGCCCCAGAGAGGGTGCATAAAATACAGAGTCCAGGGCCCTAATGCCTCATATCACAAAGTCCAGGTGGGGCCATGGAAATCTGCATTCGAACACTAAACTGCCCTTAGCCAGCTGGGTAGACTGTGACCCCCTGGGCCTCAATTTTCCCATCCGTGAAATAGGCAACTCCTTCCCCACAGGGCTGCTATAAGGGACCAAGTGAGGGAAATGCTTGGAATGTGTTCAAAAGACAGCACAGAGTTACCTGGCAGGAAGTTCCACTGAGGAAGCAGCAGACCCAGGAGCCACTCACAAGTCACTGACCTTGCTGGGTCCGGCTCACTCACTGGACATTCCTACATATCACAGCTTCTGTGCAATATCTTTCCAGGCAACAAGTGCACATGGCAGACCAATTAAGCCCAGTGAGAGGGTAGATGCCAAGTCCATGTCCCCACACTTGGGAGCCCCAGACTGTGAGACCAGTTGGGGCACTGATGGCCATCCCATGGGCCCTCGGCAAAGACATAAGCACATTTTCACACACACATGCTACACTTGCATACACACAGGCACTTCTCTGACCAACAGGGGTGGCCCTCCCCAGAGCTCCTCTCCCTTGGCCAAATCCACGTACCCTCTCTTCTCTGGGCTGTTACTGCTAAGATGCTCTAGATTCCAAGGTTGCAGTTGTAATGTTGCCACCCACAGGGCCAGAGATGGATGTGGTAGCCTGTATCAATGTTCAAATACCTATGCAAACTAAAAAATAATCCCAGCCACATGTACTGGGCACTTCCAACAGCAGGGTGTCATGGTGGGGAACCTACCATCATTATGTCATTGAAGTGCTCCTGTTCCCCAGGAAGAAGGTACCGCCACTATCTCCCTTGATGATGTGGGTAAGGTGCTAGGAAATCAGAGAGCCTGCAAGTAGCAGAGCTGTCATTCAAATGCAGCTGGGATTCAAACTCTGATCATTTATTATTCGACATATTTTTTTAGTGTGTGTGCCCAGTACTGTCCTAGGCCTAAGGGACCCAGCAGTTACCAAGGCAGAACAAGGCACTGGCAGTCTGGTGGGAGACTCAGAGCCAAGTCTCCTTGGCTCCTTCCAAGGGAGAGCTCCCTGCCTGAATCTGTGGTGTCCACTGATGGCATGCAGCCCACAGGAAGACCCTGTGAGGTGGTAGGATGACTTTGGCCAGCAGAAACCAGGTCCTGCAAGCTAATCTGCCGACACAGGGTACCTGGGCAGGATGCACCAGTGTTTTGAAACATTAAAAGCTACCTCTGGGCCTCGCTCTCTTCCTCTCTACTCCTTTCCCATGGAGTGTTCTTAATGGGAACTTTCAGCATTGAGCTCAAAGTGGTGGCAGGAGAAATGCAAAACTGGCCCCCTCCAGCAATGAGGACAATGCACCTGATTCTTTGGCAATTTTCTTTTAGCAGGAATAGACTCAATTATAATAGTCTCTCCTTGGGATTTCCAGACACAGGTGGATCTCTCTAAGAACCTTTCCAGACCATCTCTTAAAGAAGATCTTAGACAAATCTCCTATTTAGGGATGGGATCATTAGCCACTGACATGTAGAATGCTTAGCATGTTTCAGGGCACACATATGAACAACCTATTATTCTCATTTTGCAAATGAGGAAAGGGGGAAACAGAGAGGTTTGAGAACTTGCCCAAAGTCACAGTGGAACATTTGAGCCCGGGTGGTCCTTCTCAGGAACCTGGACTCCTAACCTCCGTTAGGTCAAATCAATTTGGCTTCTTTGCAAGAGTGTCCTCCCATTTCAGAGAGGTTGGCAGGATGCCTGAAGCCCCTTACCTGACTCACCTCCCTGCCCAGGCCCTGGGCTCTGACCCCAGCCCCTGTACCTCCCCACACATTTATGTCCCAGGGCCCTGCCCAACCCAGCTTCTGTTTGCAGTCTGTTTCTTCAGACTGCCCTGCACCCAGAAGCTGGCCTATTAAGAACTAGGATGCAGGACTCATCAATGAAGGGGAGGCAGCTGGGGACCAGGCAACAGGAAGTGGAGAGCATGTGGCCACTCCTTAGTGATAGGTACGTCTGCCACCTGGTCAGGGAGCTCCATTTTTCTAGAGGCAATGGTAAGTGATTTTTATGTGAAATCTCCTAACTTGAAAGTGCTGGCATTTAACTCAATTTAAAAGAATGTGAGGATGAAATAATATTTGTGATGGGACAGGATTCAACCCCCCCCCCCAGTGCTGCCAGATAAGCCTATCAGGAAGTTTCATAAATAAGGGAAGGAAAGTACAAGGGGCCATGATGCTGAAAGGGGACCTATGCACCAGGAGCTGTGGGAGGTTTCCCCCTTGACTTTACCCAGCAGCCCTGGGGATGGGGTGGGGGTGGGGGGATGGTCAGGATTCATGTCCCCATCTGTAGACCAGAAAGCAGACTCAGAGAGATGAAGTAAGCTGCCCAAGGACACACTCGGTGCAGGTGCACGCACCAGGATCAAAAGCCCAGAGGTCCCAGGTGCAGCATGCAACAGCAGCTCTAGAACAAGCTGCGTCCTGGGTGGCTGGCTCTTCGTGCTTCAGTGAGTGCGGGGCAGGTGGTGGTCCAAGTGGGGTGACGTGCCTGTGTGGCCCCGCTGCAAGAGCCCTGACCCAGGGCGGGGCGGAGGTGGGTGGGAGAACCTTCTCAAAGCTCCTTTGACTCAGGCTTAACTCAGCTCTGATGAACCACCTGGCTTTGAGTGTGACCCAGTTTTACAACTTGGGCAACCAGAGCTGAGTTGGGGAAAGTCAGGCAGGTTGAGAGTGAAACCAGCCCCCTGTCACCCGGCTTGCAGGGTGAACTTGGACGGAGCCCCTCAGATTTCAGAACCTTAGGTGCCCCCAACTCCAAAAACGGGGGCTGGCTCCATCCTCTCGAGGCATATTGGTTTCTAATCAGCCCAGAACCTTAACACACACCAATATTGGGGCAAATCACTTCCCCTCAGTTGCTTCCACCTGCAAAATGGGGAAGTAAAAGCCCCCACTGCATGGGTCTGTTGTGAGAAATGAATAGGATGACTTATTTACAGTGTGTAGCACCGGGCCCAATGCCCAGGAGACACTCAGGACACATTTACTTCTATAATCACCCCCACCCCCAACTGTCTAACATCTGAAACATCTCACTTCCCTCCTTCCAGAAATATCTGACTGCGGAGAACAAGTCAGGTCTAGTTCTCTGTACCAGGGACACAGAGGGGTTGAAACCCCCAGCTGCATCGTTGGCAAGGATCTGAGTACCTAACTAGCACTCACCAAGATGCAAACGCCTCCCCCAGCAAACTAGACGGGGATGGGAGTCAAGTCCAGGAAAGCTGTGCTCCGCGTCCCTTTCCAGCTGTGTGAATCCTCTGAACCTCAGCGTCCTCATCTACAGAGAAAACAATCATCTCCAGATCACACTTCATCTTCTAAGGGCTTTCTAAACTCTTGAATCCCTCAGGACACTCCTGATCATGGACAATTAAGTTATTTCAGATGTGTGATGCTCAACTTCAGGATTACATTTGAATTACAACCATGAAGCCTTCCTCAGGGCTTTTCCCAGCCTACCTAATCCTAAAAATCACTGAGGAAAAAAAAAAAAAAAAGAATCACTGAGGATACTCTGAAAATGTAGAATCCTAGGCCCATCTGGGACCTGACAAGGCCCTGGGGCTGTGGAGTGGGGGGGTGGTATGCAGGACCCTGGTGATTAGGGAAACCCACCCATTCTAGATTGAACAGAAAGGCTCAACTGAAACTGAAAATTGAGCAAGCTGAGCTTCCAGGGTCAGGTATCTAACAGAAAGCATTACTTTCTGGGGTCAGAAAGCCTTGAGTTTAGGGGCTGGTTCTGTTACGTTGTTAGCTACATGACTTTGGGCCAAGCCCTCAATCGCTCTGAGCCTATCTATTCAAAATGGGAACAATTAGGGCTAACCCCTGGGCTGCGGTTGAGTGTGGAATGTCAAATGTCCTCTCCTTCCCAACTTCCCAACCTCTGTGGCAGCTACCGTGCCATTCCAAGCAAGGGAAGCCAGTGAGGATGGGGGAGGGGGGGTTACCCGGTGGCACACCGTTTGGACAGGCAGCCAGCCACCCATTCCCACTTTGGGCAGGCCCAAGTAATGTCTGATTTCCCAATTCCTCAAGACAAAGTCAGTAGGAAACATTTTCCATTCTCACTGCTAGAGAAATAAATCCTTTCAGATGTACCCTTAGGAGAAAACTAGGCACATTTCCAAACAAAGGATCTGGTAACAAAGCATCCAATCTCGGTGAAGTTGGAGCTCTCTGCCAGGTGCCAGGCGGGTGGGGAATCTCACCTTTTTGGGGTTGGCCCCTTCCAACCTGCCCCTCTCCTTCCTTCATTTAATAAATATTCTCTGAGCACCATCCTGTGTGCAGGCTTGTGGCGTCAGCACCAAGGACCAGGCAATGAGCAAATAGATTTGGTCCCTGCTCTCAAGACTTTAGACTCCAACAACAAGGAACGTTAAATGACAAAATACACTAAATGATCCAAAGGACGTGTCCAGGGGTGATATAAAGGTTTGGCCAAGCAAGGGGTAGGGAACGACCCAAATCAGACTGAAGAGGCAGTCTGGGAGGATCTTTTTGGAGGAAGGGTTCCAGATGGCCATGCTAATCCAGTTAGTTCCTCCTCTACAAATTCTTTGCCACCCCCATCTACTTTTCCTGCCTTCGCAGTACTCACCACAATAAAAAATAACCTTTTATGCCACTGCTTGTTCACCATTGCCCATAGTTGTTCCCCACTAGCCTGGAAGCATCACGAAGGTAAAGACAAAGTCAGTCAGTCTTGTTTTCCTTGGAATCCTCCTCAATAAGTCTTTAAATGAATGGTGAATGAATGAATGAATGAATGAATGAATGAATCCCACTTCCCTGAGCCTCCACCTCCTCCCCTCCACTAGGGGAGTAACAATACCTTTTAGGCCATGGCCTGGGAGCCGGGACACACCCCCTGTTCCCAGTGGGCGGGGCGGGACGCTGCTATAACTGACAGGTATGGGACATGGGGGAGGAGAACTAGGCGAGGAAGCTGACGCCTCTACTCTGTGAACAAATCACTTGAGGACTCTGCCGCAGTCCAGAGGACAAAACAATATCAAAAAGGCATGATGGGACACATGGGGAGCCCTCCCTTCAACAGCATGCAGCAAAGCAGTTTCCCAGGTTCCAGAAGCAACTGATGCTGTCCCCAAACAAATTAATTTCACCCACTGGGCCAGTGAGTGGGTGACAAGTTCCCAAACAGGCCCAGGGCTGCCTTCTGATTTCCAGGCTCCTCAAAGCAGCCCAGGGAGGCCAGCATTCCTGTGCAAACACAGCCACATGCACCGGGCAGGTGATGGGTGCCAGTGACAGAAGGACGGAGGGCAGCATGAATACACTATCTTGGTCCAGACCAGCTGCATCTACAGAAGTTAGCCTTCCCCAACCAAAGACAGCAGCCAGGGATGGTGGAAGGGGCACTGGAATCTGCCGTATGGCCCTCAGAGTGGGAGAGAAGGGGTTGGGGTGGGTGGGTAGAGAGGGTCAGGTCCTGCCCTGGGCCTCAGTTTCCCTATTGGCTAAGTGACACATTAATCCCTCCCTCATAGGTCAAGATGCAAACATGCTATGAGGTAAAATGGTGAATCTCATCCACCTCTCCCTGCACCAAGTTTTGGATTTGTACATATTGTGTGCTAGTTGTCTCTGAAGCCAGTATTTCCCAAAGTGTGGCACCTGGGCCACCAGTATGACCTGGGGTGATTTCAGGTAAGATGGGGACTAGGTAGCTAAATGGCATTAGGCTTCACACATTCCTGCTGAGTTCTCACTTGAACATTCTGAGAACATCAAAGAAGTCTCAGGCAGTGCTATTCCTTTTTTTTTTTTTTTTTTAAGATTTTATTTATTATTTATTTATTTATTCATGAGAGACACACACAGAGAGAGAGGCACAGGCAGAGGGAGAAGCAGGCTCTATGCAGGGAGCCCGAGGTGGGACTCGATCCTGGGACCCCAGGATCATGCCCTGGGCTGAAGGCAGTGCTAAACTGCTGAGCCACCGGGCTGCCCTCAGGCAGTGCTATTCTGTGGCCAACCTCTCATCTTTCTGGCTATGGCCAATGTCCTTTTTTTTTTTTTTTTTTTTTTTAAAAAAACAGACTCAACAACTTTGGCAGGCACCAGCTAGCTGGAATGGAACAGCCCTGCAATTATTGGTAACTATTTATGGCAGGGGACACTGCTTCGCCATTTTCAAAGATGTTCTCAAGCTAGCTTTTCTAAATAAAAATATGGTTTAAAAATTGAATACTTTAGAGAAAAATTATTAATGTTATATGTTGTTTAGGAATATGCCCCCAATTTATGGAGCTGATACCAGAATGGTGGAAGGCTGAGAAGTAATGAGAGGAGTTACCACCTCTGCTAGTGACAGGCACATCTTACCCCATCCTTTTCTCTTCTTCCTGGCACATGGCCTGCCTGGGTCTCCTGGCCACTCCTGCAGCTGGGTGGGAGCATGTCCCTTGGTCAAGACGGAAATGATGGTGCTGTATCCACATCTTCCACTTAGCCTTCCACATCTCCCCTTGTCTCCCCACTGCCAGGCCTGAGAGAAGATCCAACACAGCCTCAGGGAGGACAGAGCCACAAGATGGAAGGAACCTGGGTTTCTGGGTACTTGTGAAGGGCAGAGCATCCCCAGCCATTTTGGGACTTTATGTGAATGAGAAATGAACTTCCATTGCATTAAATCACTGCAGTTTTCAGGTTGTTTATAGAAATTAGCTGACTTAGGCTAATATAAAGGAGGCATCTCTAGTCCAATTTTCTGCCAACCTGGAAATCTTCTATGATAGTCTGGATTTACTGGTGCTTTTTTTCTGTAACAAATAATTACTGAGTACCTAACAGATGCCAGGCAGTCTTAAGGGTTTCATAGAGACAAACTCAATTAACCCTCATGACAATCTTGGGAGCCAGGCACTACTGATTCTTTGGCTTGTCTTGCGATGAGGCAAATGAGGCTCAGAGGTGTGAAGCATCCTGCCCAAAGTCAAACATTTAGGAAGTAGTGCAGCTGAATCTTGAACTGGACTGTTGGAGATGGACAAAGCCCTTCCTCTGCCACAATGCCATGTGCCTCTGCTAAGCACATCACCCAGGGATTGCCATGCCCTCTGTGCCAGTCCCTGGGCTGGGTCCTGCAGAAGAGAGCACAAGTGTGACACTGCCATAGCCTGGAGTCCTTTGAGCTGAACAGGAAGGGAGCAAGGGAGCAAGGGAGCAAGGGAGGCATGTAGCACAGAGACAGATGGAGAGAGGAGGAGCTGGCTCAGTCAGGGAGGGCATTGCCACTCAGGAAGAACAGGAAAGGCTTCATGGAGGAGGTGGTGACTATGGGTGGCTGAGCAGGGCAGGTGAGATTTCAGCTGGTGGAGACCAACAGGGAGATGCTCTCACCCAAGCCAATAGCCACCTCCTGGGTCCACAGGAATTGGCTCAGGACAGGCCCACCATCCTGTCTACTGTCAGGGGCCTAAAATACTGTGGGACAAATCTTTAAACCACCCCCCTGCACTGGATGAAATACTCCTAGTCCTTTCAAGGTTTCTCTTACAGGCCTCACTCCCCGACAGGCCTTGTTCTCAGCTCTTCTTTCAAAGAGCCCAGGGAGTAAGGGAAAGAGTGGGGATGATGGTGTCAGACCACCCAAGCCATGACGACACCTCCTACCCCCTCCCATGAGATAGGTGGTTCCTACTGCAATGCCCCTCCTTACAGGACAACTTCGCCATGAAGAAGGTAGGGAGAAAGACAGCTGATCAAGGGGGGGGGGGGGGCAGGCAGTACAGGGGCAGCCTGGCAATGCTGCCTAAG